ACAAAGGGCTTTCGATTAAGCACACACCTTAGGGAACAGACAAACCAGCACGCCGCCCCAGCCACGAAGCGTCCCTAAAGTGAATTAGGCAGTGTCATTCATGAAAGGAAAAGGGTTTCCTTACATCAGAAGGATTTCAGCGTGTATCCATTGCATGGTTTGCCGGTCTCAATTTGGCGCAACATCGAGCTTAAAAAAGCGTTCCATCATTTTCGCTGTAAGTGCATTTTTCCTCATTGATTGTGGTCACCTCAAGTCCATTAGAGGCAGCCTGTTCCACCGATCTCCGATTGATTAAAGCATAGACGCTGGAGGTGGCCCATTGTTGTTGGTGCGATTAGTGTCTTTTCGCCAGAAAAACGTGCTGGGACACTAACAAACGTCTTGCACAGCGTGTAACCAGAATGCGAGAGACATCGATTTATGTTGCAGTGTTCCAAGTGGCACCGAAGCTCTGGACGGTCGCGGTGTCTTCACTGTCGTCGGAGCAGCCTCGATGGACGGTGGTTCTGGCGGAGGTCGGCGGCGCGGTGCCGTCCACACTCTCCTGCACTGGACGGTCCGCTCGGCACTGCTATTGCTACTGGTGATGCTGGTGTGGCAGCAGTCGCGAGAGTATCGCACGGAGGCGGTCACCTCGACCATAGTGCGGGGATGGCGCTGTTTCCGCGGCTAACAATCCGTCTCGGCGCACCGATCGCTGAAAGCTTGGTGCACGACCTGTACAGCCTCCTGGCTAACGGGTCGCTCTTAGTAGCAGCATACTACAATGTGACCACGCTCGAAACGATGCCTAGCATGCATGTGCTGATCATGCATGCAGTGTGCTGGTGCAGGCCGTGACCACAGTGACATCCCTGGAGCCGGCCTGCAAGGCGTCTGGCGGCAGCGCTTTTACCTACAGACGGACCTGCTCCGATGGACCCCGATGCGCTGCCTGACATTGCCGAGCGTTGCGTTACACCGGCGCGGCTGCAGTTCATTAGTCAGGCTGGTATTGGGAGTGCCGGCTCTCTTCATCACTACATCCGACAACGTCACATTGGTGGATACTTCAGAGTCTTAAGCAGCAATAGTTCCCCAAGGCAAGCGAGCTTGTCACTGTACGAAACCAGGGCGTAAGAACGTTGGTATTTTCGTTGGTATTTTCTGAGGCCTGGTCGCGCTATCGGCTACCGCGTGACGGCGCGGCGACGGTGGCTGTTCAGCGTGTGTTGGCGGCCCCGTCGCCACGATCCTGACTACTCGGAGGCCGGCTGTCTGAAGGAGTGCCTGTAGAGACGGCTTGCAGTGCACACCGGCTGTCGATTTCCTCACATGGTGTCGGTTGCCATAATCCTGCCCGAGCTGAGAAGTCCACTATACCACCTGCCAGTCTGGACCCGAATGGCATGGCGTCACAGCCTACGGGGCTTCCGAAATTACCATTTGCGATCACAGAGTCGTTTTGCCTGCTCAAGCTTCGAGGGGAGACGACAAGTGCCGTACGGACCCAGCGTGATTGCAGCTGGCGTCTTGTCGAAAAACCCAAACGGCGAGGGGGTGAGCTGGGACTCAGCTTGGGCCGAGGGGCCACGGATAGCGAGAGGACCGCCACCGCCGCTGTCCAGTCCGGAGGGGGCGGAGCAGTGCGCTCCCGACATACTGTTGAAGGACGTGCATGGCCGCGCTTGTCCCGGAGCCTGTACAGAGATCAACTACGATTTCTATCTGGAAATTCTGCAGGCATCTGGCCACAGAAACGGAAGCTACACAAGCCCCTACAACACAATGGGGTATCTGATCCTGGACCTGGTCGCTGATGAGGTTTAGTAGGCGGTGGCCTTTATAGCACCCACTCTAATGGCCAATATCGGTGGGTTTTTAGGTATGGTAACTGGGTTCTCACTCTTCACATTGGTGGGCGTTTCAGAGTATTTAGCGACAGGAACTCCTCAAGGCAGGTGGGCTTGTCACTGGACGAAACCAGGGCGTAAGAACGTTGGTATTTTCTCAAGTACGAGGCGAGCAATGGAAGAGCAAAGAACGAACACCATACGCCGAGCGGGTCGCCGCCTTTATCCGGCGACGCGTGTCAGACGGCCCTCGCACCGCTATCGCACTAGCAGCGTGCATCCTCGGCACATCGTCTTTTTCACCTACACTAACGTCTGCGACCATCGTTAGCGAAATGCTGCGTCCTCCAACTTTGCTCGAACTATCGTTCACCAGCTAGCGTGTGTGGGCTCTATAGTTTGTCATTGCAACGTGCCGGGTAAGGGTGCTTGTAAGATGGCACGTGGTCAATGGAACATCTGTGATCGCAGGCTTTCGTGCTTTTTTTTTTTGCTTTTTTATGCTTTTTAAGTTTTTTATGCTTTTCTGTATCTTGCACACACTCCAATGCGCATGAAAATCACAGCTATGCACGACGTACATTTACGGATCTTAACGCGCAAACCAGTTAAAAAATGTACAGTCCGTTCCCGTGCACACTTTAAATCACATAACACCGATCACAAATATGGCATGCACGTAACCAGCACGCTTCGAGAATTCGAGCAAACTGTTCTTTTTAAAAATTCGAGCAAACCAAAAAGTAAGTGGTAGAATGTGCGTTAAAAGTTGTGTCGAATATCAGGTTATCAGCTCTTAGAAATGCTATAAAAACACGCCGGCTTTAACCTGCCCACGCTTCTGGAAAGCTGGCAAAACACCTTCGCTACAGGAATTGTTCGGTGTTTGTAAGGTCCCAGGTCCGACCGAGATCAGCACCAAAGCCATCGGTTAGGAAAAGACTTTCTGTTCAAATAACAGTCTTTAGCGCTTGGTCCATTACAAGGTGTGTCGTGCACGAAGAGGGCCAACGCCATGCTCAAAGAACTTTTGTACCATTGTTGCGCTTTCGCGTTCTGTTCATTAACAGCAATCGATCGAGATTTCACCATGATCATTGGAGATTTCCTTTCATGCAGGCTTCATATCTTTCGCTGGTTTCCAATGCTGTCACGATCATTTGTCCTGCGGCGTGACACACTCATCAGTGCTAATGGCCTCTGATGTTTCGCACTGAATTCTCGCAGCCCAAGAGATGCGTGGAACAGCGTATAACCCAAACAGGATAGCCGTTAATCGGTATTGCAGTGAGTAGCGCTGTGCTGAGGCTCTGGGCGGTTGAGCGTGTCTTCAATGACCTCATAGTAGTCCGGACGGACAGCGGCTCTTACAGGGCCAGGGGTTGCGGAGCCGTTCACACCCTCCTGCACTGGACGGTTCGCTACACGCTGCTCCTGGTTAAGATCATGTTCAGAGGGACAAAACACATTCCTATATCATTGCATTTGGGTGAACGAACGGCACGGAAGGACGACATAAATGTCTATAAAGGGCCACGTTTCGTACACTGAAGTAGTTTTTAGTACCATAAACAATATCGATGGTATTGTGTGAAACAAGAAAATACTTGTTTGTTGTTAACTATATGCTAAACCTCCAACATACGTTTGATGACAAATGAATAACTTTTTGGCAAATTCATCTCTCGTCAAAACTACAATTGGTGTCATGCTGTGTCGGACGATCTTCTGTCACGGCTCTTCAAGCTTTTCAGACCTCGCTGCTGGACTTCTGCACTGAAAAAAGACAAAGCGCCTCATCTATCGACCTCACACCACATTGAATGCACCTACATTTTCCCTCAAGCCCCATCCTCCGCCCCCTCCCCCCCCCCCGCCCCCCCCCCCCCCCCCCCACTTGTCCTGGCTCCACCGCCATATTTGACCGTGACAGGCTTACACCGATTAATAGAATACATGTACCGACGCCACTTGTCTCTAATGGCCAGCACTCAATCCTTCCAACCGAAAGCATGCGAAAACATAATGCAACGCCCAAACCAAACAGAACAGCCAATAATCGATACTGCAGTGTGCAGTGCTGTTTTGGGGCTGCGTAAGCCTGCAGGTGTCTTCACTGACCTCGGAGTAGTCGGGATGGACTGCGGCTCTTGTGGGGGCCGGCACCACAGCCTTATCAGAACTGCGCTGATTTGAATGGTCTGTTTGAGATTTGCGCAATTTAGGAGACCCCTCTGTGAAGTCACGTATGTCGCGGAAACGAGAGCTGGCAGTCGGTTGGTTTTCGGGGAATAGTAATTGCCTTGGGTCTGGTACGGAAAGTGGCTTGCGCTACATCAGCCCACGAAATCACTGGGGCAGCGGCTGCTGACTGTATTTCCTTGTGCAGTGCGGTAGAATCGTCACAATGCGGTAGAATCGTTACAGGCTGCCACGCGGTGGTGCTCTCACTGTGATACATTTCCGTCATAACCATGCTGCTTTCGGCATGTCTCTTTGCACACAGGGGAATGAATGTTTTGCAAATTAGACTGCAATAGGTGTAATAGGCTGTGCTCATCACGACTAAATGCCCATGTCTGAAATTTCCGACGGAAAAAGTCGTCCAAGCGATTAAGTGCTACTTAGCATCCTACTTGCTTCACTGCTGTCGCTACGGAAACAATCTATCCAGCTTTTTGTCATCACATGATCCGTGGAGAAAGGGGCATCATTTCAGCCTGACATCGCTGGGTGTCAACTAACTTCTTCTCTGTCCGTGAAGGTGGTCGTGGGTCATTTTGGCAATACCCGGCGCTGAGAAAAGGACACATTCAGCGCCATGAAAAAACCATCATCATCTTTTTCTGTCGCGCAAAATATCGTACCGCGTTTCGCACCAGATCCTGATCACTAGCCCAGCGTTTAAATGTTTTCACATTCTGGCGCGTTCTGATGCGTTCTGGTGTTTCCTGTCGCTGTCGTTAGAGTACTGCTTAGTCATTCTGCCTCGAATCGAGTCATGAATTCAGTGCGTTGCAGTTATCTCTCGCCGGCTCTACGCTCAACACGAACAAAAGATGGGCGCCGCTTGTAGTAATCATTGGACGACGCCCATCGACGGATGGAATTAAATTGCTTAAGAGAGCATGTCTCGCGTTTGAAGACGTTGAACCAGTCATCAGGTATGGTGAACTATTGATATATTATTAACTGGAGAAGGCTTAGGTATACAACACAATCTCCGTTTAATAATTGTGCCTCTTTGTGCGTCATTGTTTGAATTACGTCATCGTACCTTTCAAAACATTAATTGAGGGCCAGTTGACAGCTGTTGCATCTGGAACCCGTCCTCACGAACGCTAGATATGAACGACTTGTTCATTATAGTTTGCTGAGCCCTGATCGCCGCATGCCTTGCGGAATGGCATGATTTCAATGACTTGATTATGACGTCATGAATGTCACGGCGACCTTGACATATTTTCCAGCCATCACTCTTCCACATCTTTGCGGCCTTTAAGTTCAGGGCTCAAAGTTTTTCTCGTCTTAAAGGGGCATGGTACTGACCTGCATCAAGATGTCGCCAGTATAGCCATTTAAAATGGAAAACCGCATTCAAATGTGGAGCACTCCCTTCTAGTGCATATCTGTACGTTGAGAAGGGGCTTGACAGCCTAGTGTAGCGCTCGCATTTTGGGCTCTTTTGAGCACTTTTCATCATTGAGCTCTCCACCAGCGTTTTCGGCCGGCGGCCTTTAATGTGATGCATCTAGTTAGCAAGAGCCGACTGGCTCCAGCATCAGCAACGGAGTCCTCACACGGTCTGCAAGGTGCGGACGGGCCTTTGCCTGTCAGATTATTGTTTCGGCATTTCGAATGCCCGACATTGATGAAAATAAGAGTGGCTGTTACCACCGGTGCATACGTGGCGCCCGGCCGAGGTACTGTTCAGGCGCTACCGCACCCCACTTACATGGCTGATGCCTACAAAAGAGCGGTTATAGCGATCTGGAGTCGCAGAGAGGCTAGTCGATCGAAAATTGCCGGTCAAGCAATGACGACAATCGGCCAACATAGTGGATATTAGCCTCGGTACGTAGCCTTAGCGGACGGATTGCACGGGGCGGCTCGCATGACATGACACACACACAGCGGTGGAGTTGCACAGGTCCACCAGACGCAACAGCCCACCGGTCCCCCCGAGGCGATGCAGCGGACACGATTGATGGACACCCACGTCCCGTCCCGCCACAGGGCGCAACATCCGCACGTGGTAGTTGTGACGTCGGGCTGCGCCGTGGTGATGATCTTGCGATCATCGGACCGCTGAAGTCAGATGGCGACGGCATGATGAAATAGCCGTTCGAGGATCAGATGGTGGCGCGGCGTAGCATTGGCAGACACACGTGTCACGACAGTGGTAGTCTGCCACACACTTGCAGCGGATTTCTTGCGGTTCCGCCCGGTGATGGTGGCACAACAGGCGGTGCTGTCCATCCGCATCGGACGCAAGCAGGAACACTTCGGTGTGTTCGACTGCCTCCGTCGGCCGTTGGTGTTCGTTGGAGACCGGCTGTCATCTGACGGAGGTGACGGACAGTGGCTGGTTGGCTGGCTGGTTGTCGGGGTGGCAGCTCTACGTGGTCAAGAACCCAAAGACGTCAGATTGGGTGGCCGCAAAGCTGAGATGCCGGATCCGGAAGAGACGGTTCAGCGTACCCGGCAGTGCCGGAATTAGCTAGGCAGCACAGCTGCTGTCAGTACCGATGTCGACTCCCGTGCAGCACAAACCGTGTCGGCCTGGACTACCAGGCACCTTCGCTGCATGGCCTGGCCGTGCAGATAGACAATGGATATATTGGCGGACGATTTAAAATCAGTGATTGACCAAGGTGATCAAAAGAGAAAGGATGAAAGTAGCGATGAGTAGGCCAAAAACCGAGAAATGACGTTCTTCAAGGAAGACGTGATATCGACTCGGTAGATGAAGCGAAAGAATTGAGGAGACCAGTCAAGTGCAAAACAGCTATGCTCTGGGCTGGGGATTATTATGTTGAGTAAGACTAATGGCAGGAGCATCTAAACAGAACGAGATCTTTAGGTACGAGATAGGTCCACAGCTGCGAATTCCATTGTGAAATAAACGGACACGCTCGTCATGGCCATCCAGGGAAGAAACGAAACGAACAACTACGAGTGAGCTGTCGGTGGATAATTTAAGAAGACGGGTCGATAAGGCATTTCGTTACACGAAACGGAAGCGTGCCCGGAGAGCAAATAGATCGGAGCGCGAACGATAATTGTGGCAGCCAACTGACATGGATGACATTCAGTGCTTGATTCAATGGGTTCGATGTGAGGACAAATTTTAGAATGATACAAGGAGATGCGCATGGCGCGGAAACGGAGATGGACGGTGACAGGGGAGCTTTGAAGAAGCGTAGATTGTAGGAGACCATCAGGATTGACAAATACGTGGTGGTTATGGCCATTGCGGGGAATAATTTTGGGTTTTTGGCCTTGCATAACGGAAATGTGAGATCGAAGGATATGACAATGGATGGTGGTTTCATAAGAAGCATAATCAACCATGAGGGGGCTTAAAAGAAAATCTGTGGCCAGAAGAGAGAAAGCTTGGCTATCCCCAAGCAGGCCACGGGTAGGCTGAGAACGAGGGGAAGCGGACATATAACATATATAACACCCATATAAGAGGATCATATATGGGTGCTCTTGGGATTATGAATGTGTTGTACAAAATATGGTGGATGTAGTGATGGGGGCTGGTCGAAAGTCATTACAACATTCACAGTTATTACTACAGGAATCAGTAGTACTTCGATCGGAAGTAGCAGTACTTACGAGTTTATTACTTCTGGATTCAGAAATTGTGTTGAAGGAGGGCATGCATGTTCGGTATTTTGTCGACCCAGTTCGTGGCATTATGCTGAGGAAGAAGATACCATCTATGGTATAAACAAGGACCATAGTGAAAGACACCACAGAATCGAGACTTTGCTGGTATAGACATACACGCACCAGGGGACTGACTCTTTGCTGATGTTCGGGAAGTGATTTCGCCGGGGAGTGCATGTGGCTTCCCAACTACAAAATTCAAAATTGGGACAAACAAGCTTGTGCAGAAGGAACATGCATGAAGTTGAGCTGATTGTATTTAGGGTGATTTAGGCCTGACCACAAAGAGCGCATGAGTCCTGGCCAGACGAATGAGTTTTGCACGTGGTCGTGCGAGACTTGGTTCAACGATAGTTCGAGCATGAAACTTGCATTTGACGCATTCAGCTGGATGAAAAATTCTGATGCCACAATTAGTGCTGACAAGATGCAAACACGGATACAATGTTGGTTATAGCTTTATTGGCCGCAAACAAAGCATGATCATTAAGCAAGCCGAATTCGTGTGACATTTCTATGGTGGCGTATACCTCTGGTTGACTTCAAATTAGGTGGTGTGAAGTATTCTACACAAATTCGCGTGCGCCAAGTTCACACGCGAGAGGATTTGAAGTCTCATGAAAGGGCGTAATTGTGAAATATGAGGAATGGTGTTAAAAAAGATGTCTCAGTTCCAAACCACATACAAAAGTGAAACAGTTTCTCTAACACCACAGGGTGGTAAGTTGCCTGTATTCAAGAGTAATGCAGGGCAGTACCTACAGAGGGTCAAAGGGTCATCCAAACAATGGTAGAAATTTAATCAGCAAGCCAAAATTGCATGTAAATAGCATGCAAATCTAAGGTTATCAGTGATGTTTATCATGTATAGTGCATGAGTGTCAATTCACATTGAGTTCCAGGACACTGCCCAATATCTATGTTGGGTTAGGTCCCCTCAATGCTGACCCCCCCCCCCCCCCAGCCAATATTTCTGGCTAAAAAATTATAAAAAAGTATGGGGAAAACTAATGGTAACACAAAACCACCTTCTCTGAACTTAATTTACTGACCACGATCCATGGGTTGCTATCTCCCCCTAATCATGCCTAAGAAATAGTCACTCCTGTCATTATGCCACCAACGCACAAACTATACTGATTTCTACTGTCAATGTACTGCTGCATATAAGCTGGATTGTCTGCCCTCACAGCTTGTTCTTAAATGTATACTGTGACTATGCTAATGATTCCATCACAACAATTTTACAATTCAATGTTACCAAAAACAGTAATGAAACATACCATACTTGCATTCATGCAATACTATGCTCACTAGTGCAAAGCAAATATGCACATCAATGAGCACTGCAGAATGAATGGCTCTACAGCTTTCCTGTTACAGTAGGGTTGCTATTATCAGAAAATAGCCAGCACTGTCCTTAGAGACAACTAAATGCCAACCTTTCACTGACCTCATAGGACAGTTGGACTGCAATACCATAAAACATCATGCTATTTAAAGTAAAACTTTCAGTAAAGGGGAAAATGACAGTGACACATGTTCCCCCTTCCTCCTCATTGCTTAAATTTCCTACACCACTCCACCCCTCGCTTTCACCACCTTCTCATGGCCTACTTCATTGGGTATTATATACATTTCTAGCAACTAAGATTCATGTTAAGAAAAGGTTGAACTGTGAATAATTGCCTATAAGCCATCAAGCACTGATAAGGCAACTGCATTTCAAGCATTTCAAGCAAGCAAGCATAGTTTTTGAAGATAGGTTAGGGAGCATTGAAAAATTATGCAACATAGCTGCAAAAGATGGATATCTACCAGATTAGCACACTTCTTCACACAGGGGGGGGGGGAGCCCTGAACTGAACAAGAAGAAGGGACATCCCTGATCTGAATATCTGTGTGACTGGTAACCATTCTCATTCAGGACAAGCACAAAAACGACATGCAGTGGTATTCAAGAACTATTATCACCTCCTGTTATCATCCTTCATGAGGAGTGCCACCAGGCTTCAACATAAAATCCACGGCTCTTTGAAAGGGAAGAAGGCTGGTCGCTTGTGTCTTCTCCGGTGAGTCAACAGCCTTTTCGGTGTCTTGAAAAAGCGGTTAGGATAATCAAAGGTCAATTTCTACCTTGACGGGATCATCCCACCGACTTACCTTGAGCTGTCAATGCCTCTCGCCGCTGAGGACACGGTCCTAAATCTCGGTACACAGCCAACGAAGTAAACAAGGCCAGAAATTAAATCCTAGGCGGGTATTCATGACGCTGCAACGCGAATGCCACTTGCAAAGTTGGACTGCATTGAAAGTCACCGCCCATCTCATGTCAGTCGCATCGCAACAATTGAAACAAGCCCTTGCGGCCAGATAAATCCCCATATCCAGGAATTTTTTAGTACTTTACGCTGTCTAGTTTGGGACACTGAGAATCGGCCGTTAAAAACAGCGAATCGGCTGACTGGCCGGGCCATCGGAAATGCACTGATTTGTCACCGACCTGTCACCAAGTCGGCCGACCAACTAAAAATCATGGGATATTTTTGTCCCGGGTTGGAATGAAATCTAGAAAAGATATCAAGGTACCATGGAGTGCGGTAAGGAGTTGTCACAGAGACGGAATTGCTTGTGTGACGGAATTCATTACCATGGAGGCATAATAGCTAGATATGGAGACCTCACGTTATGTTTTGCATAGTGTGCTGTATTTTTTCTTCTTGGCGGTGACCAAAATTTGCTGTCTGAAAACATTTTTTGGCACCAAGCTTCGCGTATGTGCATTTTTGTAGCCGACATTATCCACCAAGTCGACAGGTTTTACCAACACTTTCCGCTTTGTTCAAAGAGCTCTCTCCTCTGGCCGGGGTCCTATGTCAGCCTGCCGGGGCACTCCCAATCGTTCAGGGTCCTATCACGTTGGTCTCGGGTTCATTTCGCTTGCTCTGAAGACCCCACACTTATCGGAAGCATCTTTGTTAGCCTGCCGCGGCACCCTTGAACGCTCAGGTTTCGTTGCTGTTGACCTTATATCAGCAGTCAGATATGCGTCGATGAATTTTTACAGCCATTTGTCCCATAATTTTACTTGCCGTCGACATCGCATGTGATATTTCGGTTGGGTCTTGAATTTGGGACACCAGTTTATACTTGTGCATCACATTCTCAGCCATGTTATGTAATACGTTTTAATGCTAGGGTACCTTGTGCTCGTTCATAGCCAACAAAGCAAAATCTCTGCATTAGTCATCAGCCATCAGCTAGTCATATTGACTAGCCGGCTAGCTGTAAATATGCTAGGTATGGAGTCGGTGCTCGGTTCTGCTGGTATTTAGCAGCTAACTATTTTTTGCCAAATTTTTGCCGAAGAACTAAACTCCAAAATGGCAGCATTCTCCATGATCGGGAGAAAATGAACAAGCTCCATGCACATATGTAAGGTGTCAAAGGACACCTGCGTACAAGGTAGCGAATGTAAGCGTAGTTTGCGAGCGCCGCTTAGAGGCGCTCGCGTTCCCCTCCTGCCCCAGACGCCCCGTGCGAGGGACTCGGCGCGGGGTTCAGGAAAGGGGGTAGTAACAAGGAGAAGATTCTGAGAGCTGCCGGCGCGAGGACGGGCATATCTGCGGGACGTACTGTGAGGAGCGTCAAATACAGAAGTGGCCTTGAACGTGTTGTGTACCAGTGAGCAGGAGTCAAGACACAATAACAGCAGAACCTACACATGCATAGCACGCCTAGTTTTTTGGGGGGATGTACACAGTAAGATTGGTTTCGGCATAACAATGGCGTGTTAAGAATAATACAATTTGATAGCTGAACTTCGATTATTTCTTTGCGGGGTGATACCTTGACTTTATAGGGCTCCACAATGTGGCGTGGCCCCCCTTGACAAAACCCTGTATCCACCCGTGCAGCTTCTAATCGATGCGCATAATAAACGGCTGCGCTAATTGCCGTGACATGTGTGCACGACGGACTCAACCTTCATGACGATCTACGACATAAATTCACCCTCGTCAGGTACCAGTGCCCGTCACGGCTCGTGCGAGAGGAGAGTGTGTTTTGACAATCGACGGAGAAACACTTTTCTTGTATGTAAAAGGAGCTTGTTGAGCAAATGTCAGCTGCCACCGAAGCCATGCCGTAAAGCTCGAGTAACGATGAAAATAGCGTCCGCCATGGACTGCCAGACAGGAATAAAAAGACAAGCTGCATTGTATATATCATGGAGATGCGAACTAATGTCATGTGATGTGAGGCGGCACTCGCAGCAAAGCAAGCGGAAACCATGAACAAATGCTGTCTTTTCAATTTCCTGGATGCGCGGATCAGCGATGCACGGGCGGGGTCCGGGCGATCTATGGCCATGAGTCCATAATGGAGACCATGACGAACAGTTTGCTAACAGATCCACTTCACTTCGCTAAGACACGGTCAGCGTTACGTCACGGGCGGCGACTACAGGGGCCAGTGGCGTCGCTTTTTCATGCCGCAAGCATCTGGGAGCCACTGACCAGGTCAGTGGTGGGAGCCGCCTGATCAACCAAACACTGCCTGTCATTTTTCATTTTTTTCGCATACGCGCCATAAATGTAGCCGGCGCGTCAATAAGTTATTCAAATTTGCGTACGGTCACGTGGGATCCGTCGTCCCGCACGCTAGCCGCCGTTCACGTGGGTAGCGTCGGATGCTGCTTGGGGCAGGAAGGGGTCCTTGTGGGTGAGTGCATTGTATTTTACTACATTTTGAGCTGTGGCGCATATTTTGGAAAGGTTTGCTTCATCCTATTTATGTGCTGACCGGTGTGCATTGTGCTGAAGGTTTGAGGCGTAAATTGTTCTTCCACTGCTGGAGGTTTGAGAAGAGACAGCCATTTTTGTGAGATTGCCTCACAAAGTTGTGAGAAGATTGTGCATTACCATGACGTGTCCATGCCATTTGTTGGATACATAATTACTGAGTGTATTCAACTGCACAGAGGGAGTGAAGTGTTCTTTGTCTTCACTTACATGTGGATGACCTCAGATGTCATGTGCAGGACCCAAAATGCAAGGCATCAAACATGCAGTGTTTGTGGCATTGGAGTTTTGAGGGTCTCAAACATGCTTTGTCATTTTGTATACATTTGTGCAAGAACACAGACTTAGGAGCTTGGAAACACCACAGCTTGGACAGGGGTTGTCTGCACTTTGGCTTAGCTTCTCAGAGAAATAGCCATTTTCAAATTCCAGTCTAATGGAGCAAGGATGTGGCTCAATTTTCTCACACCATGGGAAATCGCCAGTTGATGCTTTCACAGCTAATAATTGGCATGTACCACAGCATCATTTATGTAGGTCATGTTACAAACCTTGCAGCAATGCAGACAAAATAATAGTCTTCAATGTATATATGCATAGAATAAAAGCTGTTCATGCTAGTAACCACAAATTTAATTTGGGTAATATGTCAAGTTAGCTCTTGTTTGACATGAGTTTAATTACCTTAGGTCAAATAAAAGTTGCCAGAAGTTCACATAAATCATATTTTCTATCTTATAACTATATATATATATATATATATATATATATATATATATATATATATATATATATATATATCAGTCATATAAATATACCATGGGATAGCTTTCAGTATCAGATCTACCCATAGCTCACATGTCAACTGACCAGTTCTTCAGTCATGCTTGGTGGTCGATGTAAACAGCACTGTGCACCACGCACTGAAAACAGCACTGTGCATCTATGGTGGATCATCAGCACTCTTCTTCATGCATCTGCCAAATCATGCCTGGCAGGAACATTGCCATTTATCATCTTAAGCATGGAAACTATGCTGGTACTAACCTGTTAAATGGACATGTTGGATTATTACATGGCTGCTATGCTTGAGTTTCTGCCAATTTCTGCTAGTTTTGCCAACAGTGTTTCCTGCCATCTGGTGAACATTGCCTGGCAAAAACTGTTCCATCTAGTTGCTACTAAACCTGGTATGACTTGGCAAGAGGAGCACACCTTAGAACCAGGGATAAAATGCTCAAGATTGTGTTGATTGCACATGCTTGCATACACATGTGTTCTCACTCCCTGAATCTTGGACGAGGACTAAGGCGACATTTTTGTGTTCAGGGTTCAGCGCACAGTCATCTGCAGCTGGCGGCCGACAGCAACTCCATCTGCCGGACTACACAGGCCCATCTGGCCCCACCAGCCACCATGACACCACTGCTGCCTCTGTCGGCCACCACGTCGCTAGCGCCGTCTGCCGTGGCAGTGGCGCCGCCGGCGTACGGCATGAACGCACGCCTGGTGTGCGCCCGACGCGATCGCCTGTCGACGTTTACCAACCTGACGTCGCTGCGCATCGCCCACGGCAGTATGCCCGAGGTTAAGCGGCTGGCGTTCTGCCCGCGCCCCGACACCAACCACCAGCTGGCCGCCGTTGACAGCGGCGGCTTCCTCAAGCTCTGGGACACTCGGCCGTCGGAGCGCTGCTACACTGACCGTGAGCGGCCTTCTACTGGCGGCGCCGCCACTCGGGCTCTCAGACCGCCGTCCCCAGAGGCGCAGACTGGTCTTAATCACGTTGTTTAAGAGGGGTCTATTATTTGATGTGTCCAATGTTCCACGTGGCAGGGCTGTCTGGTGATTGCCTCAGGATTGCGAGATTGGGGTTCGATTGCTGCCGCGGTAATCTTTTTGTGGGGCCTGCTCTCAGCAAGGTGTTATGACGCTGTGTTCCATAGCAGTAAGTGTATCTTTTCTTGGCAATCATTTCCGTTTCTAAGGTGTAAAATGTGCGATTTGTGTGCATAACTGTTTCATCCAAACTGCTCAGTGAGGTGAATCGCCGCAAATAGTCGCGTTGGCCCGCTGCTGGTACAGAGTTCAATGACCCCCCCCCCCCCCCCCCCGACTTTAAAAATGGCTTCGACGTGAGGTAACGTAAACTAATCTCAAGTCTAACCCAATTTTCTCTGAAACCTCCCATGCTCCGCCCGTGCCGCGCTCGTCACGTGCTTGTCCGTACCATCGCCGTGCCGTCACCGCCGGCCCGCGCGGCGTCAGGTCTGCGGGCGCACGAGTCGGTGGCGTACGACCTGGACTGGGCGTCGGACGGCAGCCGGTTGCTGACGGGCTCGCTCGACGAGACCGTGCGCATCTGGGACGGCGAGCGGCTGACGCTGCTCGGCGTCTGCCGCCGACACGCGAGCGCCGTGCGCACCGTCGCCTTCCTGCCCGGCGATCGCTGTGAGGACGGATGGGTGTCTGGGCGGGGGGGAGGCGCTGCGGTCGGTGTTGATCTGCAGGCGGGTCGAACGGCTGGGTCGGTAGAGCAGGCTCGTGACCGCAGTGGCCAAGTGGGAATGCGGCCATTGCGT